CGCGACGGATTTACAGCTGCGCTTGTGGCGCGGGTGTTTGGTATCTCGACAAATATCTGTAGTTCCGTGCTCAGCCGTCATCGGGAAGAGCTTCCGGTCTTTTGTTCCAAAATTGAGACATTGTTTTTCAAGTCAAAGTCCATTCAGCTACCTAGCCCTGTCTCGCCTGCATTTAATTTCCAAACAGTCCAGATTCCCTCATCAAACATTATTCTGACTTGATCGACTTGATCGACTTGATCGACTTCATCCCGTTGATGTGCTACCATGCTTTTGGATGTATCCAAATATTTCCTTCCAGCTACCTTTTCTCTCGTACCCGCGATCAACTTCCAGGCTGGTAAATGAGTTACATGGGTATCCCAGCCACGGGTATTTGGGATAACGAAGAAACCGTTAGTGTCTCTAGACCAACTGTGCCTCCTACTTTGTGTCTGTGGATGTCCAAAGCTCAAAGCGCATTGGGCAAGGCAACGCAACCCCTACTTTACACACATTTCGAAGAGACATGGATGACGATGACATGAGAAGGGATCTTCCTTTACAAATCAGCAGCAGAACTCTATGATCAATTGGATTCTAGTACCGTTGCCTTTGATGTGAGATTCTTATGAGGCAAGTCGCTTTCAAAACTGTCTTACTACGATTACGGTGATCAATTCATATCATGGGTTGGCGTCAAGCTTGTGGAACTTGGCGGCTCTTGAGGGCTTCATGGGTCCAATACCATTTGTTTCTCTCATGTTGTTTTCACTAACGACGGCCCCATGTTCAAACGGCCATAGAACAATGCGGGAGACGTGGAGGGAAATATGAGGAGGGGCCTATCCATGTCGCTTGGCTATGTCACTTGGCCATTTTGTTTAGCTCAATTTCAGCGTCAAATCTAGTCCGAGCGCGTAACAAGGAGGCCGCCGTAGTCGGGAAGACCAGGTGCTGGGGAAGAATCGCCTACCTGACTCGATGCACCCCAGCTTTTAGGTTGCAGCCGCTCAGATCATATTTCAGGAGCATGGGTGGCCCAGCTATCCCACGCCTGCAGCCTTACGGGAAACCTGCAGTAGATCACGGCAAGCATTGAGGAGCCATGTCCTTGCGAGAAGCGTCTGTGCAGTCCGACTTCGTGTCCGTTGGTCTAGTGGTATACTATAGGGGCTTGTGACTTAATGTAATGTCTGTAGAGGCGAGATTGAGGCACATCTTTCCCAGAGATTATCTTGCGAGATGACACATGGAGATCATGATAACGAAAATAACAGTGAAAAAGTGAAAAGATATGGCTGTGTCGGTGGCGTCTGTCATAATGTCAGTTATAGAAACCCTCGTTACAACCAAACATGAGCTATCTACTAGTAGCCTAGCAAAAGCCCAACAAATAGAAAAAGTTTCCGCTTTTCAGCAAAGGAAGTCTCGACTGATCAAGAATATCGTAATATCCAATCCAAGTAATTAATATCCCGACGAGAATGATATTGAAATCACTCAAATTGCTCATTAACAGTTGTGCAGGCAAGGAACAACTGTTTTGGGATGGGAAGGATGAAGAAGGAAAGCTGCTGAGGTATTTGTTTGTATTTATCGACCTACAGATTCTATGACTTTGCAATGACATGTAGGTACTTTCTGGCTACAGGCCGAAGACTGCTGTTGTAGGAAGGAGTGGAAAACATAGGCTAGTGAACGGAGGCTAATTTGCAGAATAGAATATTTTCACCAACTGAATTTCGACAGTAGTTCTGAGTAAAAGATCCTTCCCATCATCAATAAAACGAAAGTATGAGTGGTTAATGATAGTACTCGATAGCAACGGTCTTCAGCAGATACTTGAATAATGGTATGAACTTTGTCTATCAGAGAGAGACTATTTCAAAATCATTGCTCAATATCGGTATCGAGAGGACAAAGGATGAAAACCTGTAAGAGGTACCTCTACGACCGTGTGGTCTAATACTCTCCTAGTTACGAGTATTCGTCGAGATAGCGATCAGGAGGAGTGGCGTTGGCAAGCTTTAAGTTGAACATCTTACCTGTAGAGATTTAACGACTGCAAAACTTACCAAAACTAGTCGTTAAAACCCTTTAGATTTACTGAAGAAAGGGTGAAGATATCTGAAGTTTGTTTAAGAAATACCATCATTCTTCAATATCTCTAATTTTTGGATGACCTTTTGAATTCAAACTTATTTCGCGACCCTCCACAAATATCTCACCAGTCACCGTAGCCCTCGAAATCCAAAATCATTATTCGAAATTAAAATACACGACTTCATCCATCCTAACGCTGTTGTTGTCCACTGTGGAGGTACCGTCGAAATAATAGCATTATTATCGTGTAAACCCCGTCCAAGACCATCGGCGACTAGACCTCTTACCAATCTCTACCGAACATCAGATCAGCTAGAGCACTCAATTATGGCCGATTTATTGATATATCAGCCTTGTGGACTACCACTTATATTCTGCCCCCGTAGTTAGGTTTACGACAACGAGAGGGCAGGGCCGGGGAGATAAACTGCCTACAAAGGTTTTATGAAGAAGATTATAACAATAGTATTAAGAAGATGCTACAATAAAGGAAGAAAAGGGATTATTAACTGAGGAGACGTCGTGGAGCAACTGGATGAATTTTCTGATGAATAGAACTCTACCTCGATAAGTGGGCAGATCCTGGGATGAGTCGTGCCTGGGCCTGATCAGAAAGCACAAGTTAGAGATTTTGAGAATGTCAGGGACTTGAGCGCATGTGGTCGAGTCTTAGGAGGACATAGCGCTTCGGCGTGTTAAGGTCGGGTTCTCTAGAAAGTTGGACTTGACATATTCAACAAATAGATGAAGTCCGAGGTAGTGTGGTCATTCAGTTAGGACGAGTTCTATTTTATTTAAATAGTAATTAATCTGATCTAGACTAGTCTCACTTCTACTCCAGTTCCAATGGGATTGCGGAGAATACAATCTGTGTACTATCAAAATAAACCAAACCAAGCAACTCAAGACAAAAACTTATTGCGTCAAAGTTCCCAGCGCAATCCCGACATGCAGTATTGACGCTCAACTAAGATCTCCTCTGTATAATTTGTTGAGATAGGTACTAGCATGGCTCTCCTTCAAGTTCGAGAAAGGGTGTGTGTGCGTTATTTATCGTGCTGCTTAAATCGCTGACTATCTAGTACTGGAGCCTAATGTGCTACATAGTCATGGGCTCAAGCAGCACAGTAAAAAAACAACGACATTTGGTTCCTCTCAGACCCAGGCCGCACCTTGTACAGTGCTACTATCCTCTGTATTTATTCAAAAGATCATTGATACACTGCCCCCAATTAATAGCTATCCAGCCCAATATTTGCGCATGAAATGCAGACAATATTTCTGCGGAACCTTCTACTCAAAAAGTGTGAAAATGGTTGCAATGGCTGGTGTAGAGATAAAAAAAACTAGTCCATAACTGCACACACCATTGGGGAACAATCGTGCACGAACTTCGTCAATCAATTTGAGTCTCTCATAATTGTCCCCTTATTGCTACAAACTATTATCAGCCTGCTCATTAGAATGATGCTACCATTGAGGTTACTCTAGCCATGGTAGACAATAACACGTGGAGGAACAAGGGCAGGAACTTCTGTATGTAGAAAGGGCCTCTTTACTCTTAGAACTAGATCCACTTCAACATCTTCGATTCACAATCATCCAATCATCCAGCTCTCTTCAGGTTGTCCATTGAATTCTCCCATGCTTATCAGTAATTTACTCACAAGGTGACGTTCTCGTGCTCATCGCTCTCAGCCTTACCCTAACGGAAACAGCGCGTGCGGGAAAAAGTCTCAAAATACCTGCAGCCCCAGCGCGACGAGGCCTAGACATCGGAGCCATGCGAGATGCACGCTTCAAACATTATCTTCCTTGTAACATTAGAGACCAAATTGTTCCGATCTAACATCGCTGAATTGGATGCTGGGTTCGCTCTGAGGTTTGTAGGGGAGACCACTGGTTGATGTTGAATTTTGTCCCTCTTAGGCGAGAGATGATAGTGTAAATTATCACGTTATTCCTTCCCCCATCACACGGTAACCTTTTTAATACTTTTGATGATGAGGGTTTAATATCTGTATCATTCAATCAAATAATCATTCCACCCTTGTCTCCTTTGCCTTCTATCATTCTCTTTTCCTTGATTAGTTTATCATGTGGCGACAAACACACAACTTCGTCTTAACCCTGAGATCCCGACTGATTATTGTAGCCAATCGTAGCTAATTGGGCGATATACCGGTCTCATGCAACGAGTCAGCGAGATGTGGTGGATGCGCTGGGGAAAACAGGTCAAGAGACTCCACGAAACAAAAAAAACATCGACAGCAAGCGAGGCATGGCCGGGGCCTGTTAGTTGACAATCTGGAATAGACTCATGGCTCGACTGCGGTTTGTGGTTGGAGTTAGATCCATAAATATTTCTTCTGAAAACTCAAGGCGTGAGATGTTAGAGAGCTTCCATGGGCTGGGAATAGAGCGAGGAAAATCATTTCACACACTGTCTAAAGACATCTATCCCTACGCCTACCTAAGTTATAGCTGCGAAAGAGACTGGTGATACGAGGGCCTTTCCCGTGACAGTAACATCGCTGTAACATGTTTGATGTTGTTCTAATGGTCGGCGAGGGGACTAATCCGAGATTTTCTGGATGGAGTTTCATATCCATTTGGACTTTGCTGAATCATGTTCATCGACCTGTGTCGCCAGAGAAAGAGAGATAGGGCAGAAGAATTGTATTTATACTCCCAAGTATCTGGTCAAATCAACTCATCATTACTCAACAGTTCATCTTCTTATAATCTTCGGTGCATTTTCATTAATCTATCATTCCAGTCTCAATAATTTTCGAATTTTCGAATTTTCGAATTATCTAATAACCTTTTCATCTTTACATCTTTCCGTCTTTCCTAATCTTTAATTCTCTTTTTAATTCTTACCAATATTTGGCCGGTCCAACCACAACTCGACAATGATGCTCAGCGGATTCCTCGTTTTATTTTCTCTAACCAACCTTGCTCTATCCCTTCCAACGCAAGGCATAAAGCCAGTGGCCCGAACCGTCTCCCAGGCTGCCGAGAACATGGCAAGTGATGCCAACGCAGTATCTGACGCTCTCAACAAACTACCAACTCTATCCACGCGAGAAGATATCCAATCCGTTTCACAGGTAGCCATCGACGCCGAATCTGACGAGGATACTCATCGCACCATTTTGGCCACGGCTGCCAGCTGCAATGGCAGAGAATCCAATGAAAAGCTTCTTACCTACGGTCCGACAGTCCTACGAGAACTAAAGGCAATGAACTCGGCTGGAACGCCCGAGGCCGTTAAACAGAGCATACCTGTGATTCAAAATGTCAGGTGCGTAGTAACGAAATCGTATTGCCAGTTTTCCCCCATATGCTAATGTCTGCTGTTAATCTTTAGAAACCCAAATGTTCTTCCAAGTATTACTCAATTGTCCAACGCCGCCCTGGAAAACTCAGGTCTCCCCCCGACTCAAAAAGATTTCCCGCCTACCGGAGTTGCCGCTTAATGGCAGTGAGTTTGATCTTTGCCGGGCTGTTTAGGGGTCCAAGCACAGTTGCGTGAGCACGAGAATATCCCGGGGAGAGGTAGAACAAGCTTGGCTTTATGATTTGGTCGATATTGGGAGCCTTCAGCATAACAATAAGAAGTTGATGTCTGGGATAAATTGAGTATGAGTTTCGACAAGAAAATATAGTTCAGGCTTATTTCATAAATACCATTAAATTCATATATTTCCAATGTTGGTTATGGTGAAATTTCTAATCCCGTAAAAACTCCCAGAATGAAAAACTGGGTTTAAAGCGCTGTGGTTTATATTACGGCACGGTCTTTAGAGTTGAGACTGAGCTCTCTAGGTATTAGCTCCGACGGCTGTGTAGCTATCGTTGTAATTACACCTTGTACTAGGACAAAAAGATCTATAACCTTTCGCTAAGTGACTTCAATAGGTCTGAATTCTCCTTTAAGAGTCACGATGAGGTTAGAAACAAACAAGAACATCTCCTGTTGTTAGTATGCTAGCAAAATATGAAGTATGACGATTTGTGTGTCGTCGTGAGTGAATGAATGGATACTTATTCGTGAAGGGCATAAGCTGAGCATTCATAGAGTATGACAAGGGGAAGACTGGTATTTTCTCAACAGCTACATTCGACAAAAACTCAGGTTGAAATTTGAAGGACTGATGTAGTGGATGCATACGCTGACAGCACTGAAGACTTTTGCGCGAGGGAATTTCATCTTTTCCTCAACGGTCAATATCCACCGAAGGGAAAACAGGAAAAACTTTGGCTACCCGATCATGACTTTGTGACCTTGTATGTAGGCGCCGCGCGAATATTTCCCCACAGTCCTCCCTTTCTCGAATGAGGTAAATGTCAAGGCTACCTAGCTTCAAACTTGAAGAGATGAAGACAAGGAGATGGACCGGATCACAACCAGGAGGCGGGCCTCGACACCTTCCATCATTGACCTGGTTTTAGATCGTCACTAGATGTTGAGTTTATCAAGACTTGCAAATGAGGCTATGTAAGGCTGATAAGGAAGCGCACGCAATCAACCGGGCATTGGTTTGGTTTGTTCGTTAACGTTCTGGGTAAGGTGACTACCGTTGCACTCCTATTGGAGCTTAAGCACGAGTGGGGCCGGGCCGGATCAGGTTAATTACCGCAAAGTACAAGTGCCTTGTTCCACCTAAATGACCTGACCACCTGGAGGGGAGGGCAAGACTGAACAATTGTACGCGGTGTCCTCTACGAACCTGGGAGTGGAATATTCTCTCAGAGCCAAGTTCAGTCATGTTTCGCAATATCAAAGAAGTTGGCCCACGAGGCAAAAATCCAAATTACTCCTCCATGTCATTTTTTTGCTCCCAACGAGTTCGACTCCTACCTAAGTCTCATCAAGTCTACAAGTACGACCTAATACATCCTTATTCCATTGATCATACCTCTCGTCGACTTTCTCTGGCCTCACCCGGTCATTAAATACACGCCCGCGCCGATATTTAGACCCGGCAGAGGACACAAAGCGTGGTGCACAAATCTGGGAGACAATTCTTTGGTATTGGCGTAAGAGGATTAAGTACAAGTTAACAAGATGATGCGACGGATGGATACAGTCTCGACGGGCGTGGGATTTTGAGCATTGGCAAGGAGTTTTTACAAATTGAGCTTTGTGCGTGCCAACGCTTCGGCTGAGGAGGGCAAGACTGAACACCTGTCAGTGGTGCTGTCGGAACACTACCAATGGTCAATTCACAAGCTTGTGTGGGGTTACTCAATTCATTCCTATTTCTTCTCCCTGCCGGAAGGAATTCTATAAATACATTGTTACATTTAGCTAAACGCTATTCCCTATAAGGAAAAGTCTCAACTCGACCCTTGTACATAACATGTTGTGAGCCAGTTCACACAGGTGCTCTCTACGAACCTGGGAGTGAAATATTCTCCCAGAGCCAAGTTCAGTCAAATTTCGCAATATCAAAGAAGTTGGCCCACGAGGCCAAATTTCAAATTACTCCACCATGTCAATCTTTCACACCCAAAGAGTCCGATTCTCAACTAAGCTTCATCAAGTCTACAAGTACGACCTAGTACATCCTCATTTCAATGACCACACCTCTCGTCGACTTTCTCTGGCCTCAGCCGGTCACCAAATACACGCCCACGCCGATATTTACACCCGACGGAGGAAGCAAAGCGTGGAGCACAAATCTGAGAGATAGCTCTTTGGGATGGACGTGAGAGGGATCAGGACAAGTTTACGAGATGATGCAGAAGGGGGATACGTTTTCGACGGGCGCGAAATTTCGAATTTTGGCACGGAGTTTTTACAAATTTAGCTTTGTGTGCGCCAAGACTTCGCTTGCGAGAGTGCAGCTGACACTATAAAAATAAGCAGACGATGGAAGGTGTTGTGGTCCGTCTCCTGGTGATGTTTTCAGGTATAGTTTGAGTAGCCTGGTCACCTACTACACTTGGGAAGGAGACATCTCAGATTACATTTCGCACGGAGAAAAGTTGATGGATGACGGAGGTATGTCTAGATAACTCAGGGTTTTTGAGATGTTCCCCTGGGTGGGTATTCACGGATGAGGGTTGACTTGGGGTGAAGAAAAAGCCGCCATAACTTCGCAGTGGTACTTGCAAATGAAATCTGAGGCATGAGTGCTCCTATTATAAACTGAGTCATCATTTCTGTACTTTTCTCTGATATTGTGTCATAGCTAGATAGCTGCATACGCAATTAAAATCTGATGCAAAAAAAAAAAAAAACGCTTCGGCTGCGAGAGTGCAAGTAACACTAAAAACATCGCCATGGTTGGATGGTGCGGTGGTAAATCGTCTTGGCCGGTCTGCCAAGTAGAGTCTGGATAGCTTGGACACATATCCCACTCGAGACAGTAGATCGCTGGTTCAAATCCGGCAAAACGAAACCACATTTCTCGCGGCGCTGGTATGCATGGATGATGAAGGCATGCTTGGATAACCAAAGGTCTTGAAATTCCCTTTGGTGGGTACTTACGGAGGATGGTCGAATGTTTGTGTAGGCAAGCATACCTCAAAGTGGTACTGGCGAATGAAATCGAGAGTATGAGTATATCTGCCGCCAAAAGAGTCATCCCACATTTATACATAGCACCGGTCATGTGTCATAGCTCTTTAGCTGCATACACGTTAAGTGATTTAAAAAAAATAGAAAATAAAACAAAACAAAACACACTAAACACCCCACGGTTTAGTTCTACAGTCACGTGAATCTACTATGACGTGACCTAAATCATATACCATGGCATGTTGTATGGATAACACAACAAAACCTAGTTTTTGAAATTCGTATTTTCGAATATTCACTTTTTCTCCCTCTCCCTCCCTCTCGCGCTTGTAGTATTCCTACAATAAATTGTAATCGAGTCACTGGCATTCTCATCATGCCACCTGTTCGAAAAAAGCTCCCCAACGCAATGTTGGACAACTCGAGAGTCCGCCCGAGGGCTCCCGCAAAAACACCAGGCCTTGCTCAAAAACTTTCAAGCATGTTCGCGAGTGAGGCCTTCATCGAAGGGAAGTCTCCAAACCTTCCCGATAAAGAGATGACTGATTCTGAGCCCGTCAGGTCAGAGAAAATTAGTCCCAAGACCAACATTCCCATCGAGCTTGCCCCGGAGACAAGCACTTCAAGGAAAGGAAAGGAAGTCGTCCGAGAGAAGACGACAGAACAAGCAGAAACATCTGCAAGAAAATTTACTGTGCCAACTCCAAAAGGCACAGCTTCGACATCAGCACCGGAATATCTTCCGGAGCTGCCATCAGTGATGGAGGCCGAGAAGCGTCGTACGACGCAAATCAAGGCCCGTTTATCAATCTGTTCCACTGTAATAAGCAGTGTTGAAGCAGAACTTTCGCCTCTCTCGATTGGCGACGAAAAAGAGTTTGTAGACGGCATCAAAGTCTACCTTCGAGCGGCCATTAGCCAGTTCATACAATCAGGCCCAGGGAGCACTCCACCAGCTCTCCCTGCGCGCCCCATCAACCCTCCTCCGCCGAGGGCTCATGAAATTAGGGTACCTAGCCCTTCGACGATCCAGGCTCCGGCACCAAAGACGACTTGGGCCACAGTAGCCCGTGCAGTTCTAGGCCGCAGCGCCGGGCCGTCGACTACAAAAGTAGCACCGCCCGCCCCAAAAGCAAAAAGTGCCAATCCGAGGACAAAAGTCGACGCGAGACTTTTTCTACGCCTCAAAGTTAACCACCCCACCGACTCCTGTCACCAGCTGGCGTAAGGCTAGCTGTGTCACAGGTGCTTGGTTCCGCTGCCGACGACATCACGTTGGTTCAGCGGGTGAAAATAGGCTTTGCACTGAAAGCAAAGAAAGAGCTCGCTCGGAAAGAGCTGCTAGATTCCTCCGTGTCACGGAGCGAATCTGGAATCAAACTGGAACCAGCGTCAAATCTGGTTGCCTTGCAAATTGCCACCGTACCGGTGACAATAAACACACTTACAGGTCCCATCGAGATCACGGCAAAGATAGTTGCTGACGAAGTCACGCGAGTGAGAAAATCGGGTTCGTTTCTTGTCCGTCCGCACGGGTACTGCAAGCCTGGGGCGCCATACGAGAACTGGCAAGCCCTCTTTCCTCGCGAGTCCGCGCCCAGACCTGGACTCCGCCTCTTCGACGATTCTGGAGCTGCGAAGCTCTTCCGACCTCGTCCCCAACTCGAACAGTGCAAACGTTGTCTTGGCTATCACGCCAGCCGCGGATGTTCCCGCGCTCCAGCTTGCTGGAACTGCGGCTCAAACATGCACTCGGAAGTGAAGTGCAAGGCCCTCACACGATGCCGCAATTGTGGGGGACCTCACCGATCGGACTCTCGGCACTGCCAAGCCAGACCCAGAAAAGATGGACCGGTGACCAAGGAAAAGCTTGCAGCAATTCGCAGAGTCGAGCAAGAAAGATATGCAGACTTTGCCCGTGTCAAAGCTGCATACAAAAAGGACGAAGAG